TGGACATCGTTCCTATCTCTTCTCACTTTCTGGCATAACTTCAGGCAAATTACCTCTTCTGCCTCAATATCCTTCTTCCGTATAGATGGTGTATAGCGCTAAAACAAAAGCTCTATTTCAGTGTATATATACTGGTTAAAGTGGTCTGGTTTAAATATGATAGAAAAGCTCTTAATTTTAATCTTCAGCAATAAAGCATCAGTACAATCCTTGTTCCTTTGCATTTGTTGTTCAGTTAGGCTCTGTTGTAATTGTTAAGAGTTGGTGTTAAGCCAACTGGTTTTTCTGGATGCTGGTTGTAGTTATGGATGACAACAACGTGAAGACACCCAAGAGATGCCTGGGGTGAAAAGCACTTTGTGCCAGAAGTGCCATGGAGGCGTCGGTGCTCTGTTGCATGGGGTTACCTGGCAGCTGCGAGCGTTACCGTTGTACATGGCCTACAGTTTGGCTTTGATGGGGCAGTAGCCATTTAACTAAAACATTTGAATTATTTTTTTTTCTTCCCCAAATGCTGTCACTGTTCGATGCCAATCCCTTCCAGATTAAGGGAAGTGCACAGCATGTTCCCTTTTAGGAGTTGGTGTTCTGAGCACTAGTAAATGCTGAAAAACCTCTCTGTGTATGTAATCTCTCTCTCTTTTTCTGCAATATTTTTTCCATTTCTTTGTTTGTTGTCAGAATTCTGTAAGTGCTCGCGACATAGAGGATAAGGAATGGAAATGGCACATTTTGTTACGTGGGATAATTCTGCCTGTTGCAGTTAGTGCTCCACACTGAACCCTTCTCATTTATACTGAAACCATTTTAGTATGAAATGAGACCTGACGCATTCCAGACTTTGTTATTTGGGGTACAGGGTCTTTTTCTCCAATCTTGCCCACTTTGAGGGTTGCTGAGTATTATGTGTCACTTTCTTATCTTTTAACATATGACTTATACCACCTACTTAGCACATACTACACTATTAACAGTGTTAAAGGTAGTTCCAGACAGTTCATTTAAACATCCATTTTGCAAGTATTTATGAGTTTTGTGCAATTTTGTGTGCCAAGTTCTTCTGACTTTTATAATGCTTCTCTAAGAGCTTGGAGTTAAGCCTGCAAGTTTTTTCAGCCTTTGAAATTGTAGGCAAGATGTTTGTATGTATGTATGAGTCTATAAAAGCAATTATATGCTATTGTTTTCCAAATAACTCAGAGTTACTCTTGGCTGCAATGAAAAGAAGTAGTGGCATTACTGGGTATAGTTTTGAGATGAAATTAGTTCTAAATTTGCCAGTTCTCAAGTACCATCATATAAGGCCTAAACTCAGTGTGCTGCATTGCCAGTGTTCTTCATGAACACTTAGAAATTATCATGAGCCTTTCTTACTCCTTCTTTTGAAAATGAAAGTTAAGTAAATGCATTAGAAAAAGATAAACTGAGTCACATAAAGGGCTGAAGGACTCAACATCAAAACGGGGAACAGAATGTACGTTACGTAAAGAAACAGCTTTTACTGAGGAAATGATAACCCTCTGTGACTAGTAGAAACACTGTGAGAAGAAATTGGTGTTTATATTGGAACTTGCTTATAGAATGACTACAGCAACTCCACTTAATTTTCATTTGAACTCTTCTGCTAAGAATAGAAATGCCACGGCTGGGCAGTTTGCAGTATTTTCTAGAATCTATCATATACTGCTGTAAGAATTTTTCTTTTTAAAATATATTTAAAGGCCAGTTTTGTTTGGGATGCTTGTATTTTCTAAAGTATGTCTTGAAAACACTAGTTGGCTGTATCACACAAATGTTGGGGGTTTTCCCAAGCACTCTGTGTTTTCTGATAACATTTAGTGATCTCTGCTTTCCTGCTTGCGAACAATAAAGGAAGCTTGGGGAGGGCAGTGTAGCTCCTTTTCTAAGGAGCTGGCTTCAGACAGTTAACGGAATGTCTCTAGTTTGGCTGTTCAGTACGAGATAATTGGATTTTAATTTAAACATAAGACTATTGTTAGTGCTACTAGAAATGAGTGGTTCACAACCCTGGCTATGAGCCAGCACAGATGTGATCATCTGCTTCTGAGTCACCTGGGGAAGTGACTGCCTGGTGTTTTGTGCCTGTGGTCCACAGCAGCGCTGTGAGTTGTGCGAGACATGGAAGTGTTTTGCTTGAAGATTGCTTATGTGTTTTTGTTGGGTAACAGTGAACAAGCTAGCTGAACTGAATGTAAACTGAGTGTAAAGCTCATGGGTGAATTCATTTCTCTTGTGACTTGGACTGCTTTGATGAAAGGCTGGTGTCCAGTCATCCAGTGTCCAGTCACGCAGTGTAATGCCAGATGCTACTCCAACTCCCCCGAGCAATAACTGCTGCCAACTGACGAGGTGGGGACTCGACACGGGCTTCAACGAGAGGTGAGGTAGAGGCAGAGTCACCCCTGTGAAGTTGCTGCTCTTGGACATGCAGTTCATCTGTGCAGTTCAACACTAAAGCGGGATGCGGTGCACGGCTTTGGCCAAGTGCCAGTCTTTAGTGACAAATGTGGACAGCAGACTGACAGGAGGGAGTTTTGGGGGATCTGGCTAACGGACCTCCAAGAGAGACCAAAAACCTACGTTTCCCTGAGATATTTGAGTATCGTTGCACACAGAGATGCTGTTTGTGTGGAAATGATATTGATAATTGAGACCTACCATTGAATCTGATAATTTCAAGACTGGTGTATTGCTTGGAGCTGTTTTCAAGTCAGTGTATTTCTGAAAAAGACACCATTTTGTTGTTTTTACTATTGTAAGTGAAAAATTTAATTTCATAAAAAGTATTAAAAATAGAACTGAAAGTAATACAGTAAAATTAGTTTTAAGACTTTGTTGTTAAAAAAAAACTGTGTAATGATACTGTGTTTATCTAGCCAACACAAGAAGAGGGTTTTTGTCTGCTCTGTAAAATTACAGGTGCTTTATGTGTGAAGAATTACACTTAAGATGAAAAAAGGAGAAAAGCGGTATCGTAGACTGATTATCATATCAAGTGTGAACTGTGCACTGTCAGAACATCTTGTTCGTTTCATATAAGCAGATAACTTTTTGGGAACGCTTTCCAGGAGAGTGGGATTTTAACTTTCTCACATCCAGGCTGCATACTTTAGCAAATTCTACAATCTGTATGATAACCAAAAGAACAGTTCTGTGTTAATATAGAAGTATTGCCTATAATAAAAACAACTTTAAAAAGATTTCCAACAGCTTTGTGAATTCAATAAATCATTCAGAAGCTGGAAATAGGAGTCTTTGGTAGGATTTCCAACTACTTGCTACGTATTTTCTGTGGAAGATAGTCTTTCTCTTGAGGGGCTGTGGTATTTATTAGACATCAGAGTTTTGCTTAATGCATAAAAATAAACATAACTGACAACACAAAAATAAACATCATTGATAACTATTTGTTACTTCTTATCCCTTTCTTGAAGGGGGACCTAGAGCCATTGCTTTTGGATTGTTCTTGGGCATAAATAAAAGGGGCAGCTTTGTGTATAAGTCAATGTGTATTTACTGAGAGCTCACTTAGAGTAGAAAAGTAATGCTATTCTGGCTATCCCACAGGTGTTCCTTCTTAGGGTGAAAACCCACTCTGAGTATGAAGTTTTTGTAAGCTGTTAATATGTAAGGAGCTTAGGCTTTTTAGTGCATAAATGAATTTGCTAGTGCCATGGGTTTTAGCCCATGCTGAGCAGTGGAAGAAATTGATCTCTGTGTTCTGTATTTTCCCAGGATATCCATCCATTGGCTTAATTTAAGACTATTTTCTAGGAATTCCTAAATCAATACCATTTAATTTTACAACCCTCAAAAATAGGGTTTATTTCAGTGTTAGTAAAAGAATTTGAGGCTATTACAGATTTGGGTTCTTTTCGGACTTTTAGCTTTCTTTGTGTTATTGTTAAATATTGTACTGTTGCTTGGAGAACTCGTTTGTGTATAGAAAAGTTTGTAACAGACCAAAGCTGGCATCTTTAGCCCATCGTAACGATTCAGGGTAGCTGAAATTCAGGGAATGACAAGTGTTAAATACATTTCAAAGTGTTATATGCACTGAAGTAGTGAACGCATAGATTCAGTTGGCAATAGATGACTGAATGTGGTCCCCTCCAAATCTGATAATTCTATTTTGCAGAGACACAAGTGGCTCAAGGAATGCTTGTAAAATCTGTCTTTCATTAACAACTGTGTACTATTCTTCATAGCTAACTGTTCCTCAGCTTTTGCTTAATACATAAAGAATACTATGGGGGCGTTAGTGATAAAATAAAGCCTTGGGGAAAAAGACCTGAAGACTCTGTTCTGAGATACATCAACTTCATTTTTTTACTTCCTCTACCATTAAATCTCATATACTGTGGAACAGGACTTGGTTAAGAGGAATAACTTTCTTCCCTTGAACATTTTGCTGAAAGTGTATTAGTATCAAAGTGGATTTTTAGAGCCTGAAGCTCAGATCTTAATCAAGAATTCTACAAAGTAATCAGTTCTGGATGGAATTTTTTGTTCTGTGTGATAATGTGTATTTGTACTCGGCTTTCTTGCACTTGTGTCAGCACTTTCTGAGTGTACAGGGACCAGGGGATGTTGGGATTTTTGGTGGATCCCCCCCTGAAGATCAAATGAGATGAATCTGAGCTGTTTGGAGAATCTGAGTGTGTTACTACTTTTAAAGAGGTTGTCAGTGTACTTGATAGTGATAAAGCACAGAAGACATACTCCCAGCTTAGCGCGAATTTACAGATAAAGGCTTAGAACAAATAGAAGTTCTCGTATGAGGCAATGAAAACCCTTGCCCTTTAGTAATTGATGCTAAAAAGAAAAAAATTGCCCACAACGTAGGGAAGTTATCTTGCACTGCAAGCTAGAGAGGATTATTTTTATTTTTGGAGAATATCTACTTATGTATTGCGTTTGAATTTTCCCATATTTTTGTCTGATACAGCCAGTGCTTATTGTTTTTTCCTCTGTTTCAGCACCCAAAGACAATGAAGAACGTGTGTTCCGGGAACGTATGCGCCCAAGAAAGCGGCAGGGTGCTGTGCGACGCAGAGTACATCAGGTTAATGGACACAAATTTATGGCCACCTATCTTAGACAACCAACATATTGTTCACACTGCAGAGATTTTATATGGTATGACTTTGCTTTCTTTGCAACCTTGTATTAAAGAGTTAACATACCCTCCTGTTTTGCTGAAGTATAAATGGCGTAGAGTAGTAGTTCTTTTCCTCTTCATTTTAATATTAAGCTGTCATCAGTTTTGCAGATGATAATAGAAGACTTAAACTTCTATCACAAATGTTAGAATTTATTGTACTTGTGGTTTTTCTCCTATGAGCCATGAAGTTCAGTCTTTTCCCATCTAGTACAGACTATAAATTCTAGGTAGACAGCCAGTCTCGTGTTCTGTAGGTGCCGAAGTGTAGATTTAGACCTAATATTAGGCCTTACATTTTGCCAAGGTGACTGAATTCTACTTTAGGTGCTTAAGTATCACCATCTTCCTCCTAGGAAATGCCAAGTTCCTATACATGCTACTGAAGTTAATGAAGTATGGGAATATTAGACTTCTAGTGACCGAGGGGTTTGGGTGCTCAGCATACAGGGTCTTTCTTATTACAGTGTATGTCAAGAACTCCCTTTTAGAAATTATTTACATTAGTTTTGAGTACTCATAAGTTTCAGATAGGGAAAAGTGGTGGAGACATTAATTTTTCAGTTATATTTCAGCAACTATATTGATGTTTTCCAAAGTTACCTAGAGATACTGATTTGTACCTTAATACACACAAGATCTGATGTGATCCAGAATTAATATATCTTAACAGTGTGTTATGAATCAGTCTTTCTTAATGTGAAATGATGTGAATTGTACATTCCTCTAAGAAATGCCTGCAGGTTAGGATTTAGGTTAGCTAAGATGAAGCAACAATACTGGCAAATGCAATCTTCTGTCTATTTAGAGGCCTGCATGATGACTATTTTACCTGCTTGTGGCTTCCCTCTCTATGTACCATTTGGCTTTGCCTATTTTATTATAGTAAATGTGTCTTTAGTTCTGAATCCCTTCATGGCCTATCTTCCTATCTTGTTACCTCCTAGCAGCTGAAATGTGGTTCCTACTTTGAACTGATCTCAGTCTAAGCATGCAGTTATCAGATGGTTGGTTATAAGAAACTGTTCTTTTAAACTTGTCCAGTAAAGAGAGGAAATAATGTTTGTCATTTTTAAAAATACATATGTCATTTTCTAAAACACTTGTTTTATTTTCAGGGGTGTAATAGGAAAACAGGGATACCAATGTCAAGGTAAGAGAAAATCTATGGGGGGACAGTTTGAATATATGTATTATATAAATAATAAGATATTTTTATCACGCATTGTATATGTACCGTGTTAAGAATTTAGCACGAGATGATCAGAATAAGTTTGTCTCACCAGTGATAAAGTCTTTACAGTAAATCACATAGGATTTTTCAAAACTGTTGGTCTTAGGCAGCATATATGAGGTAGGGGCACTGTTAACATCGCTGGACAGCGGATCCTAGGTATCTCTTGATGCACATCCAACTATGGGGGCATATCTGCAGATGTTGGTCTCTTCATTTTTCACTTCTTGCATTTTAAAATAGCAAATTCTTTATTCTGCTTAAGATTCTTTGTTAAAAAATGCCAGGTAATTGCAAAGGCTGTAATTAAATAGATGAGATAATTATAGAGGTCATCATTAGAGAAGGTTATAGCAAAGACTGCATAAGTGCTTCATTTTTGGCTCCCATTTTTCAACTCAATTTCTTGTACTCTTAATTTTGCATGCTGCCACCTCTTGGGATGATGTTTTTGTACTTATTTCTCATCTGAGAAGTAGAAATAATCAAATTAATGACAATTTTTCAGGTACAAAAGATTTGATGAAATCTCACTGTAAATAAATGAATGCAAATAATGGTTTTACATGTTACAATAAGAATTGCTGTATTAACATACAGCAGTTCCTTGAGTTCTGGGGTTTTTTTTCTTACAACAATGACCAAAGCTGGAAGAAAATTAAATTAATTCTTTCACTCTGAAGGTTTCTTTCTTCACTTAATGACCTTGAATCCCACAGTATAATAGACCTTGGAATTTTTAATCTTATCTGTCATATCTGCAAATGTTATTCATTGATTAAGTAATCGGTATGAATATTGACAAAGCATTTTTGCCTCCTGAAACCTTTTACTGTTATCAACTTTGATAGTGTGTTACAGAAATAATGTTCGGCTTTGGTTTGTCCTGTTCTTTGACTTTTACAATGAGTTATCTTTATGTCTATTTTCCTCTGGAAGCTCTTCAGACAGGAATTGGTTTTGCCATTGTGTCTCATATAATGTGGAGATCATGGACTTTGTCAGTTAAAGAAATCAAATATGTAAAAGTTGAGGAAAAATTGTGGTTAATATTTCAGAAGGTAATTTGTGGTTTTACATACTGAGATTTTGACAGATATGCTTTAGTGCTATTAAAATTCATGGGTCTCTTGAAAGTCCATTATCTTCTGCCTTTGTAAGCTGACTTACTTTGTAGGACTAACCAAGTCACCAGTCACTTGCAGACTTTCAAGTCCCAGCATTTCTAGTCTTCTGAGACCAGTCTTTTGCTTTAAAATCAATCTTCATGAAAACTCATTCTTATATCTGTGTTTTGTTTATAGTTTGCACTTGTGTAGTCCACAAGAGATGCCATGAACTTATTATAACGAAGTGTGCTGGTTTAAAAAAACAGGAAACTCATGATGAGGTAAATGCTTATAAAATAAATTTTCTAGATAAAAATCTGTCTTTCATCTGTTCAAAGTAGTGTCATCTCCTCTGTTTAATCAATAAATGTTACATTCTTTTTTTGTGCTCTTCTGGCCGTCTTGTGATGTAGCATTTACTTTGCAATGACAGATTACCATAACAGTTTCATCTACATGGGAATTATTATGCAGCAATTTATTTCTGTTTAGTAAACTTTTTATAACATCTGAATTCTTAAGTCTCAGTGAGCTATTTCCACTCCTTTTCGTTTTTAACATTGTCTATTTCTGAGTTAATAAGAGTTTTGTCATTTTAATTCAAAAGAAGCAAGACCAGGGGGCCTTTATCCCTTAACTGCATTTTGTGTGGCTGAGCCATTAGGAGCTGATAGAATGGGCAGTATGCTTGGGTATGTTGCATTGACATGCAAGACTGCCCAGAATTTGCTTGCAAAGTCTCACCTCAACAAAGACTGCATCCAAACTGTCAAAATGTAGAACAAAGCCATCCGTGTGTTGAAGGCGGCCCATGGATATTGTATAAGATGGTAGTGATAACACAAGGTACTGCACAGCTAACAGGTTTTCCAGCATAATTACTCCCTACCTCTAGCAAGCTTTTGTACATTAATGGATTAACACAATATGTGCTTCATGTTATCATGTATTTAAGTAAACGAAGACATCACCTGAAAATGAAATTAGCTGCCTTCAGAACGGTACTGTCAGGGAGGTAAATGTATCTGCCAACAGCACATTCAGCTCTGGATCAGAAGAGGAAACAAAACAATCCTTTCACTTGGGTTAAAGGTCTCGTGCAGCTAAGATGGCCCTTTTATGCTTGGTTAGGAAATTAATGTTAATTTCTGTGGACGGTCATACACCCGGGAGCAATGTGACTGCTGTTGTGTTTAGCTCCCTTAGACTCCTCAGCTTTGGGGTATCCTTTTATGGCTGAATTGATAGGGGACAGTTGGAGAGGGGGAGTGGATTTATGGGGGTTTTTAAACAGTTGTAACCCTCAGTTGTAACTGGTGAATGCTTTATCTTATACAGAAGTTTTTTGTTTGTTTGTGTTTTAACAGAAAAGCTAATGAATGCTCACCGTCCTGTTCTGTTTTGTGCAACAGCTAGGGCCTACTATCTTTCACTGTAGGATTAGGTGAGGTAGTCTGTGCGTGATCCCAGTTCCTTGGCCACACAGAAAAAGTATATTTCTTAGTTTTATTTGTTAAAAACCAACATGTATAGGCTTGAAAAAGCCTAGTTGTAAATTACAAATAAGACTAATGTGTAACAATGGTTTTAAGCCACTCTTTCAACTTCAGTATGAATCTGACTGAGACACTAACTGATCTCATTCTTCCTGTGTGGTTCACTACCATTTTTCATACTGGAAGTATTCTTTAATATCTGGTTCACAACCAGTATTTTACGTCCAAAACTTGATCACTTGCATAGGTTTGTGATAAAGGGCTGTGTTTGGCAACTATTGTTTTTGCATAGTACTCACAGGAAGATACAAAATCTTGCATAGATTTATATTCCCAGGCTCCAGACCGGTGGAGACTTGTATGCTTTGCTGATATAATGCTCTCATTGTTTAGAAGGCGTGCTAGATCTCTGGAGAGAAGCCAGTGGTAATAGGAAAGGGAAGGAAAAACATCAAAATAAATCTGCTATGCAGTAGCCACTTTAAAAACTTATCAGTTACATCCTTTAATTAGTAAGTAATTGTACCTTGGAATCCTTGAATGCAACAAATAATCATTTTCATTTTCATAATCTGAAGAAGAGTCGGATATGAAAAGGTAAAGGAGTTGTGATATTTTCCTCTTTCTTAGGCCTGTATTAGTTCGGCCTCCTGCTCCTAAAACAATTGGGAGTGACTTCCTTGCCTTCCACATTAAGAGATCTTTCCTGATAGCTATGTATTTGTTGTTCCCAGAAGCACTAGGAAGTAGACTTCAGTCTTGATCTCTTGGACAACAGCAGCCCTTCCCCCTCTTTTCCCCAAATAAAGTAGCGAGAGAGTGTTATCTAATGCAAAGATCATCATCTGAGCACAGACCTATTTCATCTTGTTTGAATTGTGTGGTTTCAAAATGTAACAGAGCCTTGGTGCACACTGATTATAAAGAAATTAATTAGAATGAAATGTACTGTGCTCTCCTTTTTTGAGCAGGTGGGATCTCAGCGTTTCAGTGTCAACATGCCTCACAAGTTCAGCATTCACAATTACAAAGTGCCCACCTTCTGTGACCACTGTGGTTCATTGCTCTGGGGTCTTTTGAGACAAGGTTTACAATGCAAAGGTAAGGATTACCACTTCAGAGCTTTTCTTTTTCTTTGTGAGTGCAGCAGACTTGCAAAGACTTGAAGTTATTCTGCCTTTTCAAGCTGTACAGAAACTAATAGAAAATAAATAGCAGACTGCTGTGGGGATTGCCATCATGGTTAGAAAACGGTACTGTACCCCGTGTGCAACACCAGTCAACAGATGCAGAGGACAGAGGTGCAGAAACACATTTTGCACTTGCTGCTGTGTAGGTTTATTGCCACATAGGAAATTAGAAGTTAGCAGAAAATTAGAAGCATGAAAATTTACATCCCCTTCAGTTTATATGCCTTTTGTGTTTCCAGATTTGTGGTGATGGTTGTTAAAGTTTTTAAACATTGTTATTCAGTTACTTTTCCCTTTAATACCATCTTCAAAAATTATCTGACTGACAGAAATGGTGGTTCCATATCTCCTTGTTTCAAGCAGATCTGTGTATTGTAAAGGGGGGAGAAAACAGTACAGACACTTGCAAAGGGAAGCAATGTTTTAGAAATAGTGAATGAAATACTTCAGTTGGTGGGTTGATGGTAATGATGTCATGAAGATTGTCAGTACCTAATGGAATGAGAAGCTTTGTAATTTGTTATACCTCTACGAAAGGGTAGGTCCATCTTCATAAATACAAAAATCATGTTATGTGCACTTCTCAACAGCAGAAACATGGACTCACACATAAGTATAAAAATATAATCTATTAAATATATGCTTTGCAGTATTTGAGATGAGGCATAACTATAGGTGAAGGTCAGACCTAATGCTTCGTGTCACAAATTGCTGAACAACAAGGGAAAGAAGACATACTCACAGAGAGCATTCTGAAGTTCAAGCCTTCACCAGTGATTCTTAGCTGGTGATAAAACTTTACACTCTTAAGTATCATTGCTTAACTACTATTAGTTAACTACTCCAGCTTTGGAGCCCTCAACACAAGAAGTAATGGAAGTGTTGGAGCGGGTCCAGAGGAGGGCCACAAAAATGATTTGGGGGCTGGAGCACCTCTCCTATGAGGACAGGCTGAGGGAGTTGGGCTTGTTCAGCCTGGAGAAGAGAAGGCTGTGGGGAGACCTGATTGTGGCCTTTCAGTACCTAAAGGGGGCCTATAGGAAAGACGGGGAAAACCTTTTTAGTAGGGCCAGCAGTGACAAGATAAGGGGTAATGGTTTTAAACTAAACCAGGGTAGGTTTAGACTAGATATAAGGAAGAAGTTCTTTACAATGAGGGTGGTGAAACACTGGAACAGGTTGCCCAGAGAGGTAGTGGAGGCCCCATCCCTGGAAACTTTCAAGGCCAGGTTGGATGGGGCTCTGAGCAGCCTGATCTAGTTAGTGGTGTCCCTGCTCCTGCGGGGGGGGTTGGACTAGATGACCTCTAGGGGTCCTTTCCAGCCCAAAACATTCTATGTTTCTATGATTCTATTAAAGACTTTGTGCAAATGCTATCTTAATTATGGTGGAGATATGTTCAGAGAAGATTTTTCAATTAAATCTGATTTTTTTTTCCTCTTTGATTTTTTTAGTAAGAGATATCATATCTCTCTGCTTTATCTTTGAATATATTAGTTCCCTTTCATATTGTCTCTCAAGTACCATAGTGCTTCATTTCCTCTTTACTCTAGAAAATGTAATGTCTCATATGGATGTATTTACTGTGTAGCAGATGCATGGAAACAATAGTTCAGAGAGTCTGTGTTGTTTTTCTCCATGTTCATAAAATTAGTGCCTATAAAAATGCAGCATTGTCTACGTGAAATCTAGAACTCACCGGAGCTGGAAATGTCATTTTCTCCGTGCTTTGTTTTCTCTCTTAACAAGTGCTGAGCAATGTTCCCTTCTTCAGAGATGTACTTGCATGTCCAGTGTGGTTATTAACACCATGAAAAGGGTATTCCAGAGGTTTATTCTTCTTCTGTTTTTTCATTGCTTATTCCTGTGCTGCTTCTTACAAAATATGTTCATGAAGTTGCACTGTACAAAATTTTCCTGCTTGCTTAATTTCAAGCAGTTCAGTTCCTCAGTGGTCCACTGTTACGGATCCTAAGTCAAACGTTTTACTTGCCACTGAGCTTTCATCACCAAATGTACACATACTGAAAATACCATGTGTAGCAATTTCTTTTTGCTGCTCTTGTGAGCTGAAACATACTTGAAAAGACAAGGCACCTGCTTTCTGAAGAGCATAGTTACTGCTGCAGACATAGTGCCTGCGCATGGACTCAGAGGCAAATGGGGTTTGTTTCTTTAAGCCTTATACAGTGAAAGCATTGTTGATGAACAATATCATGAAATGCAGCTTTATAAATACATACTTTTTTGATTTTTTTTTTCTCTAAAAAGTACTGAAGTGAAGAATTTGAGCAATTGAGTGTTAATCTAGTATTGAATTACACTTGAAGTTTTGCTTTTTTTATGCCTTGCTCCACAAGAGGGCAGTGAAGACTAAGATAAAATGTGTCATCTGCTCCTAAGAGATCCACACTATGCTATTTTTAATGGAGCTATGTTTTCCCCCCCTACCCCACCACCTGGAAGCAATGCAACCTTTTTTCTTCTTCCTAGTATGCTAGTTTCAGCGGATGGAATTTAAGAGCTTAGTAAATGGATTGCCATCTAAAGAGAGAGATTGTCTAACAGTGCCAAAGATTTTTATTGAAATTTAAAACACTGTTGGTTTTTTATGCCTGCCTATATTAGCAGTTAATATGCTTGAGTAAAATAGAATAAGAAGCAATAATACATGAGGAACTGATGCTGTGCTCTCAGTAGGAGAGCAGAAGTAGAATGCTAAAATCCAAGCTCAGAAGGACTTTTCTTCTTCCAATTCTAATTCTATTTAAGATTTACAGGATCATTAGATATTTTCATTTGTTCCTGTGCCTGTTCTGGGTACTGTGTGAAAGCACTGTTCTGCATTATCGTAGCAGAAGAATGATAACCAGGTTAATAATTTTATATTAGCATTCAAGTATCATTGCAAATAGAGGTAAGTATTTTTCTACTGAAATTATATTTATTTGAACAAGTTACTGGTAGGTCCAATAAGGTCTGATGTAAGTAAGATGAATGAATGCCAAGGTAGTATTTAATTTACTCTATTACTTTGCATTTCATTGCAGTTTGCAAGATGAATGTACATCGACGCTGTGAAACAAATGTGGCACCAAACTGTGGAGTGGATGCTAGAGGCATAGCTAAAGTTCTTGCAGATCTTGGAGTCACTCCAGATAAGATCACTAATAGTGGGCAGAGGAGGAAAAAGGTAATTTTGCTATGTAGTCTCACATAAGAAATCAGGTAAGTATGGCTGTACTGTAACTTTACTAGTTGGGGTTCAGTCCTGCTCACTTGACTTGCACAAGATATTTTTTTTAAGTCAGTACAGAACTAAAACTTTGGCTTTTAAGTGCAAATCATCTATTCTGAATTTTGATAGGAAATTTATTTTGACCTGCTACAATTTTGCAAACCTGGAGTCTGTATAGAGTCTGGAAGGATTTCACCTTTTAAATTTTGTGGTCGGAGATCTCACAGGGAGTGTCTAACACAACAGTTTGTAAAAAGATAAATGTCCCTCTGGCACACAAGTGGCATTGGATAATTGATTGATTGAGACACAGCACTACTCTGTAACGTTGTAAATGCTGATAAATGGGCCAGTGTGCTGACTCTCATGAAGAGGAGCTGTTTGCCCGATGATGGTTCCAGAGTTATTGCTATTATAGGAAGAACTAGGCTGTTCTAGAAATAAAAAGGCCCAAGTACATTGAAAGCTGATGGAATTATTCTGGATTTGTAATATGTATCCTGGATCAGAATTTGGCAATGCTTTCTATTTCCATGATTGTAACAACAGACCCGTTGCTCTCGCTTACATAAATAGGCAAATTTTACCATAATTTCTTAAAACACTATTTGGTTCTGTTCGTTTTCCTGATTGCTGCACACTTGGATCCCATGTACACTGTTTTAAAATGTTATGGAAACATAGAGCTCAGGAATAAATTAATTGATCTGTGACTCCTGGAAAAAGGTGTTGTCATGTTGTTGTTGCATGAGTTAGTTTGCAGTGCATGCTGATGGCTGTTGTAGTTAAATATACTTACCAGATAGATTTCTATACAGGCTCAAGGTGGCTCTTCAAAACTTTGCCCCTCACTGGGTATGCTTATTATGTTTATTTTTTTATTTTATTTATTTCATCTTAAGAACTATTTTTCTTTAAATTGACGGTTCTTTTTCTGTATTATGGTCTCCATTTGATGTGATGCCACCTACTGTATGGTTGAGGTCCTGCCAGTGAGAATCTATAGGGATAAAACATCTTTCCTTCATACTTCTGTTTGCAAATTAATTTTGTCAAATTGAATTTCCTCTTGTCATGCAAGGATCTTATAGCTGATTACCCTTTTTGGAATTGTTCTTAGCTAATTGCAGGTGCAGAGACTCAACAACCAGTTCCTGGAAGCACATCATCAGAAGAAGATAGGTCAAAGTCAGCACCAACTTCTCCATGTGATCAAGGTCAAACACCTCTTTTTATTTCCTAACTGATATATATTGTCACATATTTTCCTTCTTTATGAGGAGTAAAAAAGCTATTGTCCCCAGCATTGGCAGAGTCAAATCAATGAAGCAGTTACCACTAGAAAATGAAGCACTTAAGAAAGTTATGAACTGCAAAAACTTTTTAAAAATGCCTACTTCTCATTTCATTTAAACCTGTGAGATTAAGTGGCTTGTAAAGGGAAAATTATAAAACAGTCATCTTAATATTATTATTAAGTTTACTAGATAAGTCCTTGCCTAACCAAATGTGTTTATGTAAGGAGGTTATATATTCTATTGTAAGAGTGAGAATATTTTAAATAGAGAGCCTTTAATTTTCTGAAGAGGCTTTATCCGTTAATAAGTTTTTGAGGTAAAATTGCCTCCTTGCAATTCCACGTTGAACATTTGTGATAATAAAACCTTCCATCCAGTTAGGCTATGCTAGCATGTCTATGTGGTCTCTAGAGGCTTCATAAAACCATGTTTCCTTTCAGTGATCTTTTTTCATGCATAGATTTGGAGACAAATCTTTTAATCTTCACTGATATGACTTGATTTAATTGAGCTAAACAGCCTGATTGACAGAACATGTATGTCAGCAGCACTTTTTGAATCTGATCTGATGTTTTTAAAAATCAGAAGTCTGTGAGGTATCTTACATACCATCATGTGTGTAAACTGATGAATGAAATAGCTCTACATGAAGACATAGGAAGACAGATACTTTTTTGTCAAATTCTTCAAAAATTATTTACAGCTGAGAAATTCTCACCCTTATTTTTAGGGAAGAGACTTCCAAAGCTCCATGGTAATAAGTACTGTAAGACTTTGAGTCCAGAACTGGTTTAAAATTGTCAGCCTTTTTGTTTCACAGGCAGCATTTTGGTTAAATAATATTTTTTAAATATCTGATGTTTTGCTTGAAATAAGAACAAAGAATTTCTCTAAATTCTATCTTAAATTTCACTTTTTTAGCTACCCAGCAAAGTTGTTCCTTCAAGGCCATCAGGCAGAAGTACTATGCAAGAGCTTGAGGCAGATCCTGAAGTCCATTAGTCACTAGTACTCACTGTGTTTAGCACCGAGGCACCTTCAGAACCATTTAGCAGATCTACACAATTGCCGCTTGAAGCGGCACTAGGAAGTGGTCAAATACTTTATTGGCAGGTGTCTGATAACAGCTGGAGCTGATGCTCCATTCATGTTGACTTCAAGGACTGGGACGCCCAGCTATCCTTTGAACTTTTGAAGATACAACTCTAAAATACGGAAGCAGGAAGATGAGTAAGTGCTGCAGGAAGACAGGGGCATTCAAAACAAAGTACTTCTCTGTGGTACAGGAACACCCAAAATCACTGAAACAACTATTTGGCCACTATTCTGACTTATCTGTCAGGTTTGGGATATGTCATTCTCTTAGGTTCATTTTGAAAGGCCACCCTTCCTGTTAGAGCAGGATTTTGGCTGATTACTGCAAGGTGGAGAAGCAGTTTGCTAAATATGTATTCTTAACCACAGAATGTTCTACACAGCGTTCAGGGATGATGAATGTCCCTTTCCAAAACTGATACAGACTAACACAAGCTGGTTTTCTGATGTTTGGTGAAAATGAACACATTTTCTCACATTTCCACAGAAATCAAAGAGCTGGAAAACAACATTAGGAAAGCGTTATCATTTGACAATCGGGGAGAGGAACACAGGGCAACAGCTACAACATCAACAGACAACCAGCTTAACAAATCCGGGGAGAATGGTGAAAATGGGGAGGTGAAGCAGGCCCAGACCAAGCGAATAGGCCTTGAAGAGTTCAACTTCATCAAAGTATTAGGGAAAGGCAGCTTTGGCAAGGTAGGTAGCTTCCCGCACCCCCTTTCTCCCCCTGTGTTGTAGAATTTTTTTGACTGCACTGCTTTGAAAGTAATCATAGTGACATTCAGAAAGTCCTTCCACCCCAGGGGTTTTCTTCCATTCTTTATCCATTGGGTAAAAGCAACTTTTACCCCACAGATCAGGAATATCAGCCTCCTGATCAAATGGCATTTTCTGTGCTTTAGCTCACTTCATTAACTGGAGTCAAGCCTTTTGAAACACAGTGTCAATGGTTCACTATTTCAGGATGTTGATAATGAAATGAAGACATGCATACAGTTACATACATACTGTTCAACAAGATAATTAGTTGTGGTCAAGCAGGACAAATCAGCTCGGGAATAATGCTGTGGAGTTATGAGTTCATTCCCTTTCTAGATAATACCCAGTTCAAGTTTGCTTATTTCACAGTACAGTTTGTGTGCTTGTTTTTCCTCAGTGGGCATGTTCAGTGCTGGAGGAAGCAGAACGCAAGCATTTCCACTCAGATACGACTAGTGCAAGAGGCTTCGACAGCTGCCCAAAATACCACATACGCAGCAAAGGTGTAACTCACCAGATACCCTCTCACAGTAGGGCATTGATGAGGGTGTTTTCTAAACCTTTCTCTAAAGGTTACCCTGGCTGCGAGCCAGAACTGACCTTAAACAGAGGTGGGACTTGAACCTTAAACAATAGAAGTAGTTACAATCAACATTTTGAAGTGGACAGAATGGTCCATGAGATTGCATACCACATTCATCACACACAAATCTCACTAGCAAAAGTGGGAGATAAAACTGGGAAATAAACTTATGTTCTATATCAACTTCCTTCCCTTTTTAGTTTTTGAGGTCTCATTAATAGGCACTCATTAAAATACTTGAATGAGGCGATAATTTTTATCTTCTGCATTCTTAACTAATAAACAAAATGAGTATCATCTGATTCAAATTTAAAGAATACCAGAGGTATCTTTTTCTAGAATTACATTACTTTTCATTTTATAAGCATGCAACTTCATTCAGGAAACTATGTAACTGTCTTTGTATTTCCAGTGCAGTCAAACTTACACACAACCCTGCATTTATGGTATCTGTTGTTCATAGGTAAACAGAATTTCTGTTTGGTTTAGGTAATGTTAGCTGAGCTAAAAGGAAAAGATGAAGTATACGCAGTGAAAGTCTTGAAGAAAGATGTCATACTTCAAGATGACGATGTAGATTGTACAATGACAGAAAAGAGAATTCTGGCATTAGCACGGAAACATCCATACCTAACACAACTTTACTGCTGCTTCCAGACAAAGGTAAGCTACATGAACCTTTTACTAGTTTGTGCCCAAGGAATAATATTCAAGATTTTGAAAGCATTTCTGAGAAGTTTTTGGCATTTCAGTAGTATTGAACAGGAGTACTGGCCGCTTTTAAATAGCGTAAATACTGCTACCTTGTAAGTACCAGAAGATGGCAGTAAATGAGTTAAAAAATAGAAAAAAAGCCACATGCATAAAACACAAACTACTGAGGTGCCATTTTCTGGGTTTCTTCTGTACATTAATGTGGTGTATCGTTTGTTGAATTAAGTACAGAAGTTTTTAACATCCAGTATTCAGAGTAGAAATTGTAAAATGATCTTGTCAGAAATGACATTATGGCAGAACACTCAGTTTTCATGTGCTATGCGGTATACAAAATGTTCAAAAGAGAAAGCAAATAGTATTCTGCTTATCAAGTAAGTTCCTACAGTGCTGATGTCTCCCATGTGCTTGAGGACCAGGGAGAAGGAAAGGCAAAGAGAGATGATAATGAGACCTTGTTCCCATGGTGTGTTCCTTGCTGGTAGTTTTTCAGACAGAATTCCTCTTCATAGCACATGTTTTGGATTTGCTGCTTTAAACGTAAGTGAATGTTTGGATGGTTTAGCTGACTCTCTAGGATTTCTAAATCCAGTCAGTCAAAGTGCTTGAAACCAGTTGTGTTCACAGAATATTTCTGGTTTTCATTTTTTAGTGTCTTATTTCTGTCTTGTCGTTCAGCTGAGCTGACAGGTTCTTTACCTGATTGTCCAGAAAGCTTTATGGACAAAGAAACCCCACAAGGTGAATCTATCTTGCAGGTAGAATACCAATTATATATAATGGAATTTACAGAAGCATCCATTATTTTTCAAGTGCCTGATAAAATGTTTACTACTTAAAAGGACTAAGGTTTGAATTTTTGCTGTTGAACTAAATATGCCATTCATTTCAATGGGATGAAGTTTTGACCTGTAAGTTTAGACGTTAGTATATATGTATGTTTTAAATAAAACACTTGAAAATCAATCAAGTTCCTTCAAGCTTCTGGTTTTTGGTTGGTTTTTTTTCAGTAAGATACTACATTGCAGTATTTGAGTCAATTTAATGGAAAAGTTTGGCAGATTAAATGAATAATTAAACTAGCATATTGAATGAAATGAAGAGTTACTCATGATGTGTATGAGTGTATGTGTGTGCATGTGTAAATACCTGCATATCATGTATTATAACCAAAACTATATATGGCGCCAATGAGCAATTTCAATAATTATATGTGTAGAATTAACAGAAAAGCTGTAAATAAAAGATCTCCCAGCAAAGTTGTCAGAAAAGATAAATAGGGCAGTGAGAAAGCCATAGGAAAATGGCTAATAGGATCAAGATAATAGCGTGTTCAAATATGCAAGTAGCAAATGTTTAATATGTTTATACAGTTCTTAAAATAGTGAAAATGTATTAGCGTTTTATATGCTTTGAAGTTGACGCAAAAAAATAGTCCAGGAAGGTGTGTGTATACAGTTTGTATCTAGGGAGGATGTTTCATGCAGGCAGACTTTCATTTCATTTGAATATATGTATGAACATACTCTTTAAATGTCTTAACCTATTATTTCAAAATCTATTATTTCAAAAACTAGAATTGAGCATATTATTTCAGATAAAGCAAGTGGTAAAAAGATTGTACTGGGGTGAGGGATAAACTCTGTGAACAGAGAGGGACCTTCAGGACTAAGGCAGACCACACTCCCTGAAGTGTAAATATATGTATCACCAGCCTGACGTGAATCGTTTGGCAGAACATCAGTAAAGATTAGTTTTACATTAAGTGAATTATGGCAGAAGGTTCTCCTGCTACTTCTCTAGTTTCCTGGAGATTTTTTTTGTATTTCGCACCTGTTCTCCCCTCTTTTGTATCATGGTTTCTGCCTCCCTCCCTGCTCTCCAAAGCCGTTCATCAAAGTACGAAATTCTTCTCACCATCTCCTCTCTTCCCAAATCTCTTCACCAAAGAGAAACGGCAGTTTGTGGCTTTGTTTGAACTCAGAGGAACTGATAGTTATGTGATTTATAGTTACAAGTCATAGACTAGTGGCTCTTATCAAACAACCAAAACTATACCTAGTGATACCCAATCAAATTAGAAGTCCACATTCAAAAATGGAAGGTTTTTTTTGAGCATGGCTGATGAACAATTTGCAAAGAAATCTTTATAAAGAAACAAAAAACCAAAACAGATGTAAAAGCAAAAGCAATACATCTGCTAAAGCTGTAAGTTATTTATGACTGGCAACAAATTAAAATGTACCAAGTAAATTAGTCACTGAAAGATTTGCTCAGTGGAAAAACAGGTAGAAAAACTTGCTTGAACAAACATGGTCTATGGTTAAAATAGCTTTACTGAGACAAAGGCTATTGTACAATAGAGTTTAAAATGTGTTTAACAGTAGTGTCTGGTTACTTACACTGCAATTGTGTGTGGTGCCATGGCTGCTGTACTTTGCAGAACTGGTCCCTGAAGTGATCATGCTGGAATTAAATTTTACATTTCAAGTAGAGCTTATTTGTCGTATACACCCTGACTTAATGGGAAGATTGACTCAGTGTTCATTGTCAGAACACTCAGAGGTTGACTTTACGTAATGAGATTACTTGCTTTGTTCCTCTTCCACAAAAATGTGAGTATGTAAGTTTGACTTTATATATTGCACTGTTTTCCTTCAGTAATAAGGTGAAGACACTGCAGAAAAGTTGACTAATAGGCTTTTTACAGTAAGTATGCTTCAGTATTATTTGTTTTTTACATGAAGCAAACTTTTCATTAGTGTCATTTACTGAATGGTACTATTATTATCACAACCAAGGGATCATATTTAAAATTATCTTGGAATTCAGAAGTCATGCCAAATAATGCCTAAGAACAGCATACCCTATACACTAATGTGTTTTTAGCCCTACATATGTGAATTTACTCTTAGCATTCCCATCTAGCTTCCTTATTTTAAAGGAATACTCTTGACTGGTATTTCTTATGTTCCTTTTAATCCAAAAGCTGGCTGAGCAAACGAGTTTCCTTTAAGCTCATCAACAAATTAGCCAACCCCCCAAAATCAACATTCTATATTAAAATAATATATATTCAAATACTGTACTTCAGGGATTGGTTTGTGGTCTTCTATGGTGACTTGGAAGTCAAGAGAGCTGGGTTCTGTTCCAAAGCTTGGGATAAAGTGTGTGAAGCTGATATATGTTGTTTTGTCTGCAGTAGTTTGAGGTATTAACTCAGCAAACCAGTCCTACAGATTAGAAAGAATGTTAAATCTACTGGCAGGACCTCAGCTGATGTGGGTTTTTACATGGAAGGAGCTCACGAGATACTAGCGTAGCATATCTTATAAAACCTTCTCACAGTTGGATAGTATTTTTCATCCTATACTACGGCAGCATTTCCCTTCTTGTTTTGTCAGGATATGGTCAGTGCATCTATCAATGTATTCAGAGGTTCGATTTCTGTTTTGTTTGCGATCTGTCAGCTGGGATATAAATGAAGAATACTGCATTCTGTATTTGACACTCCCATAGTGAAGCTTGCCCAAGGCCCAGCATACAGGGTACAGCATTTTTGTAAGAATTGACCTTTGCTTATCATCATCTTCGATTTATTCAGGACTTTGTTGTGTCCTTTGTTGAGAAAATGTCATGTTTTTTCAGGACTACTACTGTACACATTCTTTTTTCATTCTTCCTCCTATCTTCTCTTTCTCTTCTTCTGTATGCTGGTTCCTTGTGTTTTCAGTAAGGAGTACTGTACCTGACAATAATGCTGATGCTGCCCAATCTCCTTCTCCAGTGTCCTCTTCACTCCAACTTCATACCACACTTCAGCGATAAACTATGGACAGTATCAACATTAGTTTTTATTGATAATACTTCAGTCAGGTGGCTGGCAAAGGGGGGGGTTAAGTATTTTTAGAACTATTTTCTCTGACAGCATTCTTGTATTTGTGGTTCTTGTATATGTGGTACTTCATTCACAGTGAGAAGTTTCAGAACTGTGAAAATTAAAGCTATTTTTAATGGAGAGTTGAGATTCTACAAAATAAAGGTATAACAAGCTTCACTTTGTTCCTCCTACACCCCTGTCAACCTTCTTCATAGTACTTAAAATTTTCTAGACCTCTACCCTGTGAGATGCATACACATACATATGCACACCCTATAATTTATAATGAATTATCCTAATAAAAACTTGAGAAATGAAATTGTTTTTAAGTTAAGACAGTGAAGGTTTTATTACCATAATTCATTATAAATTTAGAAGACTAGAGCTACTGCTTTTTGACATCTACTATTTGCTTTTTTATCAACTTCCTGAAATTAGATAAATTTGGAACTAGTGCTCTCCTGCTCTTCTCAGAGTACTATCTTCAACAAAATTGCTTTGTATACAGACATAGTAGAGATTACTATGAGTACAGAGCAATGTTTCTGTTGAATGATAGGGTTGCATAACTTGTAAAGGACCCTTAGTCAGCACTATAGCTCTTGCTATTAGAGAAAACAAGTAATTAAATAAAGGTTAGAGAAAGTCAGAAAGTGAGTTACTGCAGCTAAATAGTTAGACATCCCACCCATAAAACCTTTTTTTTTTTCCTTGCAGTTGTCTGCATGTTAAAACCAACATATCTATTCACAGCATAGCTCCTGAGCTGATCTGCAGGACCATTCACTTCTTTCCTGTGTTCTGGTCTGGTAAGGCAGAGATGAGCCACATGACAGCGGCAGAACTGAAGGACATCTAGGAATAGGCTCTAGTGACCCTGTTACGACTGTGTTGATTCCTTAACTGTTAGGTTCTACCTTGTAGCTTACTACTGGTTTATCCTAGATTGTGAGTACTGTGCTTCAGGTACTATTCCCTTCTGCGTGTTTGCACTGTACCTAGCCCACTCTGGGCAACACTAGAAGGCTGGTGTTTATAAAGCTAAGATTTAGGAGATTTTGTTTCAGTT